GTGACACGGTGCTCGTGCCCCCCTCCAGCTGAGACCTCCCCACGGCAGCGTGGCAGCCATCCCCTGCAACAGCTGCACTGGGAAAGGTCACACCGGAGCCGCCTCTGGGCTCCTCTCTCGCCGTGCTGGCTCCCCTCAGGGTGCCGGGGAGAACCAGCTGCCTGTGGGGCCTGGGGGTCCGCAGCCTGGCCTGTGGGTCACAGAAGAGGGATTAGACCCACTTAGAGCCGCAGCGGTGCTGGCACCGGGCTGGGACAGCACCGGGGACAAGTGTCCCTGCAGGATTGTCCCCTCAGGGACTGGGTGGACTGTGCTTGTAGGTCCAGGCTCACCGGGACGCTGGCACGGCTCTGGTAGACGGTGTTTGTGCGGTGCTGGGCATCCCTCGCTCTCCGGCTCCGCCGCTGCTTCCTCCTCCGTTGCTCCAGCTGTGCCGGATGGCAAAGAGGTGCTGGGGTGTCTGCACCCCACCACACCTCACGCCTCCCCGGCGCTTTGTCCCTCCCACCCCAAAAGCAGCAGCACCCAGGGACTCACTGGCTGTGCTGGGCCGTGGAGGTGAGCTGGGGGTCCATCAGACACAGAGCTGTCAGAGCCGCTGGTGCTGCGTGGGGGAGATGACTGCTTGCAGCCGCCGCCGTAACCCCAGGGCTCTGCAGGGTCCCCGGGCTGGACTTTACCTGGACTCAAGCTCCGAGGGGGAGACGTCGCTCCAGCCAGAGTCCGGCTCCCGGTGCAGCCGCTGCCGCAGCAGCTCATCCACCTCTGACAGGCACTGCTGGAACTGCGGGATGGAGCCAGCGTCACTGTGGTCCCCCTACGGCACAGGGACCAGCCTGGGTGCCGTGGTTTGAGCCCACCTTGGCGGGATGGGGGTCGCAGAAGTCGAGCAGGGTGTCACACAGGTGGTAGCCCAGCGACTTGAGGTCCTCCACGTTGAAGTGCGAGCTCCTCCCACCTGAAGGGGACAGTGGACAATGAAGGAAGCGGTGGCTTCCCAAAGCTGGGGCCACCCGCCCTTCAACAGACCAGACACCGTCACCTGCGGTGGCCCCTCACCCAGTGTGGAGCCACCGAAGGCCACCTCCATGGTGTAGCTGTTGGAGACACCCATGTGCCACATAACGACCCTGCCCGTCCCTGCTTTGCTCTTCTGCACCTTGAACTTGCAACTGGGGAAGGAGAACTAGGGCCAGCCTTGGGGTCAGCATGGCGGGGGGATGTGTCACCGTCCCCAGCACCACAGGGACACCACCTGGTGTCACCGTGAAGCTCGGCGAGGACACCATTCCCTGGCTCTCGAGCATCCCACCTTGTCAGGGGCATTTTTGCTCAGCATCAGGGGGAAGATGCGCTGGCGCAGCCGTGGCCCAGCACCGGCCCCGCCGCTGG